AGCCCAAAAGTGTAAGCAACCCAGATGTCCACCAACTAGTGAATGGATAAACCAAATGTAGTGTGGCCACGCAGTAGAGTACTATTCGGCAGTAAAAAAAAATGAGTTGGTGCTAAGTGAAAGAAACCAGACACAAAACACCACACACTGTATGGTTTCATTCATATGAAATATCTTGAAGAAGCAGATCTGTAGAGACAGCAAGTAGACTAGTGGTTGTCTAGTGGGGCCAGGGGTGGCTACAGGGATGAGTTAACAAGTACAATGCAATTAGTCAGCTCTGTCACACTCGGAACGAGTAAAGGTGGCTAGTTACAGAACTGACACTTTTGTTCAGGGAGAGCGTGAGGTCAGCAGGAAGGCTGCGGGGGCAGCCGGAAGGGACGGGGAGGGGCCCAGGAGAAGGGGGGCACTGTAGAGGGATTGGGAACCAAGACTGCTGGAGCTTGATCCCCATTCTGGCCCCAACACTTCCTAACCTTCCTCGAGATATTTATCTTCTTTAAATCTCTATTGTCCCTCTGTGCAATAGTGTTCATTGTAGGGCTGCACACTGTGAGTAAACAGTGAGATAATCCACGCGAAGTACTTAGCATAGATCCTAGCCCATGGAAAGCGCTTTTAAAATTACCTGTTATTATTTAAAATAGCTTACCCAGGGTAATTCACGTAGAGCTTCTTTTTATGTCTTAGAAAACATGCCTATGTTAGGGAAGATGGTGGAACGTTCCAATACATTTTTAGATAAAACCCCAGGAGATGGGTCATTCTTTGCTGCTAGAAGATACTTTAGAATAAAAGTTAAGAATTGATGCTAGAAACTACTTTAAGGATGGATAGAGATTTGGATTAGTTTAGATGGTGAATTATACACATGGTGACAATGTTACCAAGTTTGTGTGGCCTGTCATCTCCTAAGAAGTGCTTGTCCTGATAACTCTTCACTATAGGTCGAATACTTATTGAATGGTTCATACGTGTGTTAGGGGGTTGACTTGTGTACCAAAAAACCCCTATGTGAAGCCTCAACCTCGAGTATCCCAGAATATGACTGTCTGGAAATAGGGTTGTCACAGATACAATTAGACAAGGTGAGGTCGTTACGGTGGACCCTAATCCAATATGGCAGATGTCCTTATAAAATAGGGAAATTCGGACATAGACACATACAGGGAGAGCGCCTTGTGAAGATGAAGGCGGAGACTGGGTGACCTTCTGCCAGCCAGAGAACACCGAAGATTGCCAGTCAACCAGGCTAAGTGATTGGTAGGGAACGGATTCCCTCACAGACCTCGGAAGGCACGAACCCTGTCAACACTCAGACTTCTGGGCTCCGCAACTGTGAGAAAATAGTTTTCGGTTGTGTAAGCCACCCCGTTGGTGGTCCTTCCTACGGCAGCCCTGGCAAACTTGTACAGTGTGCCATGTGCTTTTTCTATTAAGTGAGCGGCTATTCCCCAGATGACTTTCTTTTTGTTACAAATCTTTCCCAGGGCGTCAGTTTATAGTGTATCTTCTAACATAATTGCATCATCAATTGAATTAAATTCCTCTTGAGTTACATCTGTAGAGTTGTATACAAAAAGTTGGTGAGGGAAGATAACAGAGAAAGAAAATGTAATTACTGCATTTTTTAGACTGAACGAATAAATTTACTTTTACGTTGGAGAGGGGAAGGGCTCAGAGTCACTAAGCCTTTCCAGTTTCATGCCTTATTTGATTTTCTCACTAATTCAGGTCCTTTCAGTTTACATTCAGTTTGTAAGTTTTCTCCAAGAATAGATTGCACGTGGTTGTGTATTGACTGCATAAGATCTATACACTGTCGGGTACGAATAAGCCTGCCTTTCTGTTTAAAATGTTTCTTGCCAGCAAACTGCTAAGGGTCTCACTAGACAACATGATCCTAAGACATGTGTAACAGAGAAGTTCAAGTGCTTTTAGGTATCTGTGAATACAATAAAAAATGTTCTCCTAGCACAGAAGAAATTTCTTTTTTGTTGTTGTTTTGGGGGTTTTATTTATTTATTTATTTATTTATTTTTAGAGGGAGAAAGAGAGGGAGAGAAACATCAGTATGTGGTTGCCTCCCATGTGCTCTCGACTGGGGACCCATCCTGCAACTCAGGCATGTGCCCTGACTGGGAATCAAACTGGTGACCCTTTGGTTCACAAGCCAGCACTCAATCCACTGAGCCACAGCAGCTGAGGCTTAGCACAGAAGAAATTTCTAATCAACGTTACATCTGTGTCTTGATGCACAGTGAACCACGGCCGTCTCTAGAACACGAGCTGTTCCGGATGTGCGCATCTGGAATGTCCGTAAAATAGGGGCCAGAAGAAAATGTATTTTTCCTAGTATTAAGAACTTCAATCCTGACACTTGAACCTATACATTTAAAGTAGAGTTGAGAACTCTGATGTAGCCGTGCGGATAATTCAAGTGAAGAACAAACTTTCTTTTATGATATGGATGTTGCAGGCAAATGTAGGAAATTATTAGCATGAGTTATTATCCACACAATTGACTCAGTTTTCCATTTCATTTTGCCCATGGAAGCATGATACAAATCACTGGGAGAGAGATATTTCTAGCAATGAATTGCATTGAAAACTGTGGTTAAAAGTCATTTTTGTCTAATGGCCAAACATAATGAATAAAAACAGTGATTCTTTACTCTTATGGTGGCTTTGAATTTCTAGGCATTTCCCTCCGCATTATCTGATTTGATCTGCTCAGATTTTTTTGGTATTTTGAGATGGTTACTGGTGAGAAAAATGAGGAACCCAGACGTCAAGGAGCTTACACAATTTAGTACTCGTGACTCCTGGTTCAGTGTTCTTTCCACTGCATCCAGGGCTCTTAAGCTTTTTGTGCCATGAGCTCACTCTTTGGGAATCTATCTACAGAAGCCTTTGGATTCCTTCTCAGAAAAATGCTTATAATTATACTTTTAAAGGCACCATAGAGGAAAACAATTATATTAAAATACAAATATCAAAATATTTAATACGCTTGATTCAATATACATATGATTCTTTATTAATGCACTAAATATCAAGATACAGTAGCAAATCTAATAACTGCCACAGTTCCAAGGTAGTGATGAGTATAAAGGGTATTTTGAGATATCTACAACAACTGGAATGAGGTATGCCAATATCTGGGATTTCTCTTGTTTAGAAAGTCACTGGTATTTGCAACATATAAGACTTTGGGAATTCTCAATAAATAGAAAGCCAAACTGAGGGTGGTATTAGAGCTTTGAATTGAAATCATTGTTTGATCAGCTTCTGGACTGATTCAGGAACGCCTGCTGGGTTCTGAAGGATGACACTGACCTTGAGTAGCTTGACGTCAGGCTGGGGTATGGGGCGCCATCACCGAATGGTCTGCGACCCAAGCTGAGTGACATGCATCTTAGAACCAGAGGCCCCATAAGTCAGTGTTGAATAAATAGCAGTTGTTCATTCAATAAAGATCATCTGCTGAGAGCAAGGAACTGAGTGACCCTTCCTCAGCAGCTGGATCCTGTCTTCAGACATTTGAAAGGCAGTCATAAAAACCCACACAGAGATCAACAGGAAACAAAATTGCATTATTCAAGAAAAAAAGCTATTCCTCTTGATTAACTGGATCAGGCCTTCAAGACCAAGATGTATATTCTACCTCCAGTCATGCCATTGGTTCTCTCAATAATCTTGGTCAACCGTGAGTGTATGTGTGTGCATGTGTAGATATTTTTATAGACTCTACATTTTAGAACAGTTTTAGAAATACAGAAAAACTGAGACAGTAGTACAGAGAGTTCCCACACACGTTGCTCTCAGTTTCCTCTATTATTAGTACCGGACATTAGTATGGTGTGTCTGTTACAATGAGTGAACCAATATTGATATGAACTAAAGTCCATAGTTGACTCAGTTGCCCTTAGTTTCCACTTGATGTCCTCTTCCTGTCCCAGGACCCCACTTTTCCTGTTAGTTGCCCATTGAAGTCCTCTTGATGGTGATGGTTTCTCAGACTTTCCTTGATTTTGATGATCTTGACGGTTTTAACGAGTCCTGGTGATGTGTTTTGTAAAACGTTCCTCAGCTGGGATTTGCCTGATGTTTTTCTCATGATCAGACTGAAGTTAGGGGTTCCGGGGGGACGGAAGCTCAGAGGTGAAGTGCCATTTCCAATACACCATGTCAAGAGTACGAGCTACCAATGTGACTAATTACTGTTGATGCTGACCCGGTTCACCAGCCGAAGTGCTGTTTGTTAGGCTACTTCATCGCGGAGTTACTCCTTTTTCCTCCTGCCAATTCACTTCTCACATTTCTGTAATTAATTAGTAAAGAGAAAAATCATTCCCAGAAAACATGGTAACCTAGTCTTTCATAGGAATGTGCATCTAGAAGAGACTTGGGGAGATTTTTTAGTCCCATCTCTGGGCCCAAGCCATCCTGCACAGATGGGATTCTGGCTGGCCGACTTTTAAAGATTAAAAAAGGAAGGGGGTTCCACAGTAGAGTTCTGAACTCTTCAAAACAGATGTTCTATGGCTCAAGCAACCGATTAGTAGAATGTCCTATTTGCTTAGCTATGTGCATAGCCCCAAGGCATTGACACCATCCTAGATAATTTCTGGAAGGAGATGTATACATAAGTAAATACATGAGTGGAGAGACAATGGACTGGACAAACCATTAGGTGCTATAACATAGTGGGCGCCAATATGAAAAAAATGTAGTGACTACGAACACAGATTTTGGACTGATCTGATTCAAGTTTATGGGTCACCCAGCTGAAGCACATGTCTTTAGAGGGGTCACTTGGGCTTTCTAAACTTCAGTTCCCCTAACTGTATAATGGGCATAATCATACCCCCTATTAAAAGTTGCACAAACCGCCCTGGCTGGTGTGGCTCAGTCAGCTGGAGCATCCTCCCCTAACTGAAAGGTTGTGGGTTTAATCCCGGCCTGGCCATGGGGCGTGTGTTTGATCCCTGGTCGGAGCGTGGATGCCATCCCTGGCTGGGGTGCGCACAGAAGGCAATCAATTGATGCTTCTCTCTTGCATCGATATTTCTCTTTCTCTCTAAAAGCAATGAAAAAAAAAGTTCTCAGAGAAGGATTAAAAGAAAAGGTTGTACAAATCAACATATTGAAAGCCCGTGGCACTCAGTACACCGGGTACTATTACTACCCAGGGAGCCACGGTGGGATCCCGCTGCAGAATCGCTCTAGCAGGAGCTGCTTTAGGTGGATTGTTCTCGGTCGAAACCGCGTGTAGAGAAAATGCAAACTTCCAGCTCCCCGCCTTCCTCCACTCCTTTAAAAAAAAATCAATAATAAACGTCTGTACCACCTTCCCCTTCCCTTAGACTGCCCGTGCCTTCACGTCGTTCCCCCAGCTGCCACGGTCCCGTTACACTGGTATTTCTGAAGCAGCGGCACTTCGTAGTGATTGCAAGAACTCCTTCTCCCCCAGGTAAGTCAGAGAGCAGCGGAGAGCTGGAGAGACGGGAATGGGTCTGCATTTGTTTGGTGGGCTGTAAGCAGCTGCCTTGCTGATCCTATTACCACAAAGAGTAATGATATTTGGGGATAAAAGTCTATGAATAAGTAATGATAATAGAAGCAAGAACCAGAACTGTGGGATACAGAGCTTGTGTTAAAAATAGTCTGTCGTTTTCAACTCTGCCTACTAAGCCTTTTCCTAGACTGAGAGACGCGGACGGCGCTCCAGCAGAGGAGCGGACCGCGTGGGAGCCGGTCCACCACCGAAGGGAGACCGTGCGCCAGGGCGAAGCCGCTTCTCTGTTGTGGTCAAGTTCGATCTCCAACACCACCGCTGGGTTTCTCTGATGCAGGCGAAGACGCCTTTTTTTCCAAGCCAAGTAACCAGAGTAATAAATGTTCCATTCTCAAATCAATAATTATTGAATTTGAAACTCCAAAATGAGAACATTTGGGTCTGGTTTGAGAACTTTTATGTTTCCTGAGACACACATACTCTCCCTCGATCCCGCATTGTCCTGTACGCGGCTGGAACAGGCAGGCGGCCGAGGGATGCAGTTAAGTCCAGAAGTGAGCATGGCTGAACCATAAGGAAATACGAGAAGAGACTGCAGCTCAGGAGGAGAAGTCAGACCCGGGTATTTCAGATGTTGTGCATTTCATTACCTAGGAGACTGGTCAAACTGAAGTCCTGAAACCTCAGCACAAATGGCTGCCAAACCCCGGTTCCAGGGAACTAAGAAAAAACAGACCACTATGCAAGCAAGGATTCTGCTCAAAACACCCAGCCTCTGATCCAGGAAGAGCAGATCCTCGACCGCAAGCCAAGACATTACAACCGATGTGAGCAGCTGTTCTGGTGCCAATCGTGGCCTCAGATTTATTGCTTTCATGGTTAAGGTCACAGGCTAAGGCATTCTCCAGATTTTGCTATTGAACCCAGACACCACCGCCCCTCCCGCCTCCCCCATCAAGCACCAGGAGTCTGTTATGGCAGAACGGCACAAATGGGAAATACCCATCAACTGCAGCAGGAATATTAACTTCACTCGGAAGCCTTTATATGCCATTACTTTAGAAAGAATTCCTTGTTAGTCCTACCATTAAACAATTAAATTGTCAGAGATGAATTCTGTGCGTGTGTGTAATTTCCCTGCTCAGGTGATGTCTGCTGCAGGTCTCTCTCTCTCTCTCTTTCTCTCTCCCGACCCCAATTGTATGTGTTTCCCTTTACGTTGTTGAAAATAAATACATCTTCCTGATAGCATAAGCAGTTTTTGTTATGAACTTTGATATGCCTGCACATTTTATACCACTCAGAAGGCAGGAATACAGAACGAAGCACTCAGAGATGAATGTGCCTTCAAGTATCGCCCTGTTGGAACAGGATCCCCACCCCCTTTTCCCGACACGAGTTGTTAATGCGGCCGGTTTGCCGTGGTGGCCTTCTGTCCGTGGACGCTACATGAAATAGTTCTAACTCAAGGCAAGGCCAGTGCCTCAGATGGAAGAATGATTACCACATGCTATAGTCCCCTCCCATCTTCATCCTAATTGGAGCTTCATGCCTTCATAGTATTTATTCTAGGTCTCAGTGACAACATGTCTGACCTGTGGAAATCGCACAGGTGTGTGAGAGGTGCAGGCAGTCTGCCTGAACTCGGTACTGATCCTTGTAGTGCAGAGCATACTGCTTAGCACAGATTGAATAGTATTGAATAAACACAATTAAAATCACATTTAAATCCCTATAATTTTATATATCTTAAATTTTTACGTAATCCAATTAATCTCTCGCCTTTGTCAGCTACCAAAACTCTCCTTTGAGACTTTAATCTTTAAGCTTTTAAAAAATTCAAGAAACAAAAAGAGAATAGCTATCCACTAAGGTGAAAAGACTTCTAGAAATTATGGATATATAGGGCAAAGGCTGAGGACAAGAAAATACTGCTGCAACCTACAAATCATCCAGCTCATCCAAGAACCAGTAATTCTCTGTGTGCCGCTGCACTTACCGGTCACTCGAGTGCTTCTTGATATGAGGACATAGTCAGTGTCATGCACGTGACCTGCTGTTCTAATATTAAGCTTCATAAAACGTTTAGCTTTCTTATTTTATGACAATGCACAGATAGGCAAGTAGGGGAGGGAAGGGGTTTTGAAATCAAATTTCAAATAGCTGCATTTTCTCTACAGACTACTGTTTGGTTCATCTCTCTGTCACCATTGGCTTATGTCTTTTTTTTTTAACAAGATGGCAACAGTAGGAATTTTGGAGCCTACCTTGTTACACGGTGAGATTTGTAGTTAGGCTTAAAATTAGTTAGGTTGCACTCAGTTCTCGAGCTCAGCCCCTCACACAGCCTTGCATGGCCTTCTCCTGGCCTCAGAAAAATCTGTCTTCAGGTTTTAGATGAAGCACTGCACCTTTTTATTCAGTAATTCATTCTTTTGAATTAGCGTTCTGGTGCAGTGTGGACCTACGTGTTTCTGTTTGGGGTCAAGAAAAAAACCCTGCAGGCCCCTCTTCCCAAAGGAAAGAATATGCACAGGAAAATCTCCCTGGAAGAGGAAAAGGAAATTAGAACAAAAAGAAAGTAATCTTGTCAGAAAATATTCCTATCATCTTATTACCATTGTTCTTATTCGTGCGTGTCTCAGTTCATTTTGTAAAAAATTTAAACCTGCCTCCTCACCAATATGACAGACACACCACACACTCCGACCCTCTCTTGCTCAAATAGCTCTTCTACTTTCTGTGCTTCTGACAAAAGCGCTGTCATCCTTCCAAATATGAAGATGTAAGCCTTCATCCAGTCCCTCATCTTCTGTGCACTCTGTGCTGTGTCCCGTTGTGCAGTCAAGGACTGTTATCCCTTAGCCCTCGCGGATGGTCCCTCCCTCCTCCCCTCTGGCTACCCAGGCCCCACCCAACTTTCCTACAGAACACAGGGTCCCTCTTTTCTTTGAAGTCTTGGGATGAGTGTCGGGGTCTATGTACACCTGATTACCACACTTGCTTAGCTAGTACAATATTAGCAGCATTAAAATTATTTCAGTAGAAATTTTTTAATTTCAAAAATTAACAACTATGTTAGAAGAACATCTCTTTACAAATAATTGGTATGTTTACTGTAACCATTCCTACCTATTCGCTAATATAGGCCCCTCAATATAGTGGCCTGAGCAAGGGACCATATATAGTGTGTGATTTCCATTCAGAAATAATTCGTAACAATTTCATTAAGTATTAATGATTTTGATTGAAGTTTTTTGGCATTTAGGAGATTCCTGCTAAAATACAAATATCCCAGAGAGTACACTCCAAATTCATTATCGATGATTCCCATCTTTTCGGGGATTATTTCAGGATTCTCCAGTGAAACAGCAGGTCCCTTTCCACCTGTAATGATGAGTCAGTAATAAAGCTACACAAGCAAGCAGAGAACATAGCCACGTCCGTCTTGTGTATGAAGCAGGGTAGTTAACAGAGACTGCCAGCTGCCCCAATCCAACATCCCACTCCCAATTTCCTCTTTTAAATTTAAGCCAAAAGGGTCTTTGTACACCATTAAACAGAAATATCCCTGAAAAGTCCACATATTAAGCCAGAAGTTATTTTCACCTCTGAATAAATGCATTTATCAGATTCTTCAAGGTGCTGACCTCGGTTGTTTACTCTTCAATTCTCTGTAATGTCTCAAATATTTCCTCAAGTCCTCAGACTTCAACCTCAAGAGTTATTGAAATAATCCTACATTTTTATAATTTGCTCTTGAAGTCTATCTCCAGCTGGACCAGAGTATTCAGCTGCACACCGGGCATCTCCGTCTGTCAGTTTCCACGAACAGCTCACACTCAACATACCCAGAACCAACACAGTGTGTCCCCTTCACAGTTGGCTCTTCTCATGTGTTACGGTTCCCCTCGGTCACACGGGAACTCAAGAAGGAGCCTCAGAGTAATCTTCCACACTTCTCTTCCCCACAACCAATCAATGATTTCAACCTAAAAACCCTATATCTGGCTCTGACTGATGTGGCTCAGGGGGTTGGGTGTTGTCCTGCAAACTCAAAGGTCACAGGTTCAATTCCTGGTCAGGGCATGTGCCTAGCTTGCAGGCCAGGTCTCCGGTTGGGAGTGTGCGAGAGGCACCCGATCGATGTTTCTCTCCCTCGCTTTCTCCTTCCCTCCCCCTCTCTCTAAAACTAATATATAAAACCTTAAAAAAGAAGATTCTAAAATCTCCCGTGTCTCCTTCTTCCCCTCCAGGGGCCACCATCCCCTGGTGGTAACACAGAGCGGCATTCTCCCTCACCCAGGCTGCTGGGAGATCTTCCCGGCCCCGCATCACCCTTCCTAAAGCTTTGATTGTGTCCTTCCCCCGTTCAAAAACCTCTGATGCTCCCCATTTCTTACATGAAAATCAACCTCATCTCATTTGTAAACGTTCACTCTCCTATGGCCCCGCCTCCCTTCTATGAGCACGTACCTCACTCCCCCAGCAAAACTGGAATACTCACTGCTGTCTGACCATGCCCTTTGCTTTCTCACCTCTGTGTCTCAGATGGTTCGCTC